TATATATCTTTGTGTGTGTCGACATGTGGAGCCTCTGCCACAGCACAGCAGGCAGCTTTATACATCTAAATTCGTAGATCTTTGTGTTTGTCGACATGGAGCCGGCCAGCGGGAGTGTGAAGAAGATGGACAAGAAGGCCCTGGAGGGGATCGATGCCCGCACCGAGAGCACGAAAGTGCCGGATGATGACATGGAAGAGCTGGCGGATGGCCCGCCTTCGGAGAATGAAACAACCACCTCCACCAAGAGGTCCCAGAGCAAGCCGGAACATGCAAGAGGCCCTCTGCGCGAGAGCAAACAGGCCAAGAAGGCCCTTGTTCACAAAGGGATCCTCACAAAGGAGGAAGCAGAGAAGCTTTCTGCGGAGCAGGTCATGGAAATGGTGAAGAAGTACCGAAAGGGAAGCTCCATGTTGTCGGAGGTCCTGCTCAAGCAGCTGGAGGAGAACAAGAAGGAGGACCTCCTGGCCAAGCTCTTCGGCGAGCACACGGAGACGCACGACATGAAGGTGCCGGAGATCACGGACCAGCAGGTCCGGGAGGCCGACAAGGTCCTGCTCGCCGCCCAGGAGAAGTGCCCGTTCTGCAAGAAGGTGTTGGGCTGCGCATCATGACCCCGCAGCACCGCACCTACATGAAAGAACCCCACCTGTATCTCTGCCGAGGAGCCCTTTCTTGGTGTTACACCGAGTTAGGGCAGGGGAGAGGGCGCCCTAAACCCTAAACCCTAAACCCCCAGCCCTAAACCCCAAACGCCCTGAACCAGGTGAAATCCTCGCTTCTTCGAGTGAGGCGCGGGCTCAAGGAGCTCTGCCTGGAGAAGGCCCTGGAGTACTGGGGCGATGTGGAGCGGCTGCCCACGTTGGTGAAGTCGATGCGCCAGAAGAAGCCCGTGCAGGTGAAGTACGGCAAGTCCGAAAAAGCCAAAACGTAGGCGGAGGAGGTCAAGAAGTACCACCTGGCCTGGGTGTGTTATGCGCCGACCTCTGGCAAGTACAACCGGGCCACGTACTCGCAGAAGCACCTGTGCTTGCGCCGGTTGTCTTGCTCCAAAGGCCTCAAGATGACGAGTATGAGGACATGGTGGGCATCCTGTCCACGGGGACCATCCTCATCATTTGCTGGTATCAGATTTTCCAGGATGGCTTCTGGGTCTGGGTGATGACCATCGAAGAGGTGGACGCCTGAGCCACAAAGCA